GGACCTTCCGACTCTCCTTTTAAAATCCCTTTCAAGCGCAAAAGCTTGCGATGCCTATTCTGATCAACCAAACAGGTCCCTTCTTTTTCTCCCTTCTCCAACTTCACTGGGAATTCAAACTCCCATTCAGGCAGAAATGGCAAACCACCTCTGAGTATTCCTTGCCTATAAGATTCATAGTGTCACCGTAAGTCGACTGGCAACTTAACACACACATATGTACAGACCGGAAAGGCAACCACAAGCAGTCACACTACTGGTGGAAACAACTGAAATCCACAAGCAGTGGACAACTTCAACAGAAAGGAAGAATCCATGAAAATGAACAAAATCTGTATTTAAAAATTCTGAAATCGTAATAGTAAATAAATATCAACACTCAAAAACAGGGGAATTCCAGACAAAAATAAGTCAGAATGAGCGAATCACCTGCCAACAAAGGATTCCCCCAGGCAGGAAGCAGCCAGATCTTGAAGCTGCAAGGCCATTCAGTGCGACATTCACACTTGCCTCAAACAGATAAGAGTTCTTTCTCCCACCCTGGAGAGATATATAAACTCCACTTGCAAAGTTTCCAACGGACCCCACAACCTCTGAGGATGCCTGCCATAGATGCAGGCGAAACGTCAGGAGAGAATGCTTCTGGAACATGGCCAGACAGCCCGGAAGATTTGCAGCAACCCAGTGATTCCGGCCATGAAAGCCTTCGACAATACATAGTTCCCAAATTCTCATTGCTGCACCAAGGTCTTTTGGACTTTAGGCCAGCTAATCACCTCCCAACAAAGGATTTCCCCAGGCAGGAAGCAGCCAGACCTTGAAGCTGCAAGGCCATCCAGTGCATTTGCCTCAAACAGATAAGAGTTCTTTCTCCCACACTGGAGAGATATATAAACCGCATTTTCCTAGTTTCCAACAGACCTCACAACCTCTGAGGATGCCTGCCATAGATGCAGGTGAAACGTCAGAAGAGAATGCTTCTGGAACATGGCCAGACAGCCCAGAAGATTCACAGCAACCCAGTGATTCCGGCCATGAAAGCCTTCGACAATACATAGTCACCCTACTGTTCCCACAGCCAATTCACAACAACCCAGTGATTCCAGCCATGAAAACTTTCGACAATACACAGTCACCCTACTGTTCCCACAGCCCGGAAAATTCACAACAACCCAGTGATTCCGGCCATGAAAACCTTCGACAATACATAGTCACACTATTGTTCCCAAATTCTCATTACTGCACCAAGGTCTTTGGGACTTTAATGTTTGGTTTCCAAATAAATCTGAATATTCCCCCTAGTTTGCCAACATTTTCATCCCTACCAGGCTGAAATGCCCTTGGCTGCCCACTTCTCCGTCCCACATTTCCCTTCCCCTCCGCTACTGTACAAAAATCCCTGCCAACTCGCTTGTGCCAAAAGCGTACGGATCAGCAAACACCAATCCCATGGCACTTGTCCGGGTCTTTTTATTTTTTCCCTCTTCCTTCTTTGCAAGTGGCTTTTAAATATCGCTGGAAAGAAAACCAGGGAATGCTGCAAAAGTAGAGCAAAGGGTGGTTTTCGGAAAGGCAGAGCGTTTGTACAACTTTCCCTTGTTCGCTTGTACTGTTATTCGTTCGTTCTTCCCCCTTCCCCCTCTAATCCATAGGATTAGATTATCCAGATGGGGTCTCAAAGGCAAGCGAGAGGAAAGAGGCCATGATAGAAGATTGTAAACAAGGTTATGCGGAGAGATTAAGAGGTGTTGACACAATTTGGGGAGAAAGGGATGTCACTCCTGGGGTCCCTTAGGGGTCTGTGCCAAATCCTATGAACTCAGGAATGGGCAAATTTTATCTTTCCAAGGTTTTTGGATTCCAACTCCCACCATTCCTAACAGCCTCAGGCCCCTTCCTTTTCCCCCTCAGCCACTTAAGCGGAGGGGAAAAAGGAAGGGGCCTGAGGCTGTTAGGAATGGTGGGAGTTGGAGTCCAAAACCCTTGAAAATATCAAATTTGCCCATGCCTGCTTGAACTGCTCTGTCTGGCAAGCAGTTTGCATGGCAAGTGTCCAAACTCTCCCTTTCCTCCCTGCCCCATCGCCTCTCCGTCCCCCGCCGACTACGCTCTAATTCCCAATTTGCATTTGGCACAGATCCCCACTGTAATCTACTGGCTCTCTCTGCACCATCAAAGAGGGCTGCGCTCTGCAGAGAAACCAACTCCAGCAGGCATGCAAGGCACGGATGCGGTCCTTTTCCCGTGACATTGGCACAACCTGGCAACGATGTTATCCAAAAATAAGGAAGAATACAACCTTTAAAATGTTATATTTTTTTCTCTCCCCTTGGATACAGTCTTTCCAACATACCACAAACAAAACATAAGCGTTTTCAAAATGGTGCACCAACACAGCAGATGGAAGGAGATCCTTAGCAATGGAAAGGGATCGAGTGTACGTTCCTGGCACAATATGACATATTGTTTTTTGGAGAGGGGGCAAACCAGTTTGCAAAATAATGTATTCCTTCCATTGGAAATAAAGAATTATTTTTTTTGCTGAGCCTGCAAACTTTTCCCCGTTCACAACAAAAAATGGACCCAGGAGATTGCAGAAGGACACACAATGCATTGCAACATTCACACTTGCCTCCCTCGTGCAAAATAGTGAATCCAAAAGGTCAAAAATTCTGATATATTCCCATGAGTTTCCACGTTATTTCAAAACCTCATTATTATTATTATTATTATTATTATTATTATTATTATTGGGGTGTTGTGAGTTTCCCAGGCTGTCTGGCCATGTTCCAGCAGCATTCTCTCCTGACGTGGTGGCATTGCAGAAGGAAACACAATGCATCGCAACATTCACACTTGCCTCCTTCACGCAAAATAGTGAATCCGAAAGGTTAAGAATTCCCATGAGTTTCCCTTTTATTTCAAAACCTCATTATTATTTTTGGTTTTTTGTGAGTTTCCCAGGCTGTCTGGCCATGTTCCAGAAGCATTCTCTCCTGACGTTTCACCCACATCTATAGCAGGCGTCCTCAGAGCTTGCGAGGTCTGTTGGAATCTAGGCGAGTCGGGTTTATTTATCCGCGAAATGTCCGCATATATATAAAAACTCTAAAAGAGATAAACTCTAAAAATTTGAAAATTGGGACAGTAAATAAAGAACAACACTCAGAAAATGGTGTGAATGTTGCAATTGGCCACCTTGATTAGCACTGAATGTCCTTGCAGCTTCAAAGCCTGGCTGGTTGCTGCCAGGGGAGTCCGTTGTTGGACAGTAAATACAGGGCAACACTAAAAAAAACAGGGGAATTCCAGACAAAAGACAATCAGGGCCAGCTGACACCTCCCAGCAAAGAATTCCCCCAGGTAGGAAGCAACCGGGCTTTGAAGCTGCAAGGCCATTCAGTGTTAATCAAGGTGGTCAATAGCAATGTCCAGGGTGGGAGAAAGAACTCCTGACTGCTGGTGGCAAATGTGAATGTTGTAAATGGCCACTTTGATTAGCATTTAATGGTTTTGCAGCTTCAAAGACTGGCTGGTTGCTGCCTAGGGGGTCCTTTTTGGGAGGTGTTAGCTGGCCCTGATTATCTTTTGTCTGCAATTCCCCAGTTTTTTTTAGTGTTGCCCTGTATTTACTGTCCCAGCAAAGAATTCCCCCAGGTAGGAAGCAACCGGGCTTTGAAGCTGCAAGGCCATTCAGTGTTAATCAAGGTGGTCAATAGCAATGTCCAGGGTGGGAGAAAGAACTCCTGACTGCTGGTGGCAAATGTGAATGTTGTAAATGGCCACTTTGATTAGCATTTAATGGTTTTGCAGCTTCAAAGACTGGCTGGTTGCTGCCTGGGGGGGGGTCCTTTTTTGGGAGGTGTTAAATGGCCCTGATTGTTTCTTGTCTGGAATCCCCCTGTTTTTGAGTGTTGTTGTTTATTTGATTTTTTGGTGTTGTGTGTGTCAAAAGCGACTTGAGAAACTGCAAAGTCGCTTCTTCTGGTGTGGTGAGAGAATTGGCCCGTCTGCAAGGACATTTGGCCCCAGGGGGGATTATTTTGGGCAGGAATTTTGATTTGAAAAATGTGTTTTTTGAGTGTTGAGAAACCCTGTATTTAACTGTTCCCCAACAAAGGACTCCCCCCAGGCAGCAACCAGCCCCCCAGGACCTTTGAAGCCTGGCCAAGGGAACATTCGACGCTACTGAAGGTGGTCCCCAAACATTCGACACTTGCCCTCCCAGCAGAACCAAAGAGTTTTCCTTTCTCAAAAAAGGAAAAACAAAAAACACCCTGGCCATTATTACAACATACTGTTTAAGCACCCTCAATTTTGTCCTAAGTTGTCATTTGCCAAAACATTCACACACATTTGCCTCCACAGTTCTTTCCCCTCCCAAACCCCCCACCTCTGGACATTCTTAGAAACCCCAAACCTTGTCCCTAGTTTTTTTTTTTCCAACAGACTCCCCACCTCTGAGGGTGGGGCCCTGACAATATAGATGTGGGAGAAAAAGGGTACAGGAGGGAATGCGTTTTTCTGGAACTTGGCCAAACAAGGCCCCCGGGAAAACTCACGAGCAACCCACCCAGTGATTCCCCGAGGCCCACACCCAATGGGGTGTTCCCAAATTTACCTCTTTTCCCAGCCTTTTTCTTGGCACTTATGATAGAATGAGACTTTGTGAGTAAAGGTTAAATCTCTCCCTTTTTCAGCTAAGAGGAAGGGGAAAAATCCCTCTGCAAAGCAAACCACAAGGGAGACAATCCTCATTTCGGGGGGGGGGTATTTGCAATGACCCCCATCCCACCCTTTTTTCACCCCAAATATTTAATACATACATAAGCCTTGCGCGTCAAATAGAGGTGCGCCTTTTGCGCGCAAAGCAAGGAGGTCTTTTTGGTGCCCAAAAAGAGACAGTTTGGAAGGCTTTCTGGGGCATTTAAGAGCCCATAACCGACCCCAATCGCCCCCCGAATTCAAGCACCCCAGATTAGACTTCCCCTGGCATTTACCTTGGGCATTGCAACCCATTCTCCATGGCTTGGGTGGCTCTCCTCCTCCTTTCCTCCTCTTTGCTCAAGCCTTTGGCGGTGCGTGCGCTCTGCTCGCCTTCCCTTCTCCTTCTCTCTTCTTCTTCCCTCCTTCTTTCTCGCTCTCCGCCTGCGATCCGTCCGAGGGCCCCCTCCCTGCAAAGCCCACTCCGCCCAGGCCCCGCCCTCCCCCCTCCTCCCTCCCTCCTAGCCCCCCCCCCGCCGAGGTAAGGTCCCCCCCCCCCCCCAACGTCTCCAAAGCGCACTGGCTGATGCCCCTTTTTGGCACGCCTCCACGTCCCTTTGCGCCTGCGCCCATTGGGCGAAGGGGCGTCACTCCAAGACCCTGGATGGGGCGGGGGGCAGGGGGGATCATGAAGTCTCCTCCTCCTCTGCAAACCCCCCCCCCCCAACTCAAATCTATTGGCTGCCCTTCTTCTTTGCAAGAGAGGAGGAAAAAGAGAGGAAGGGGAGTGGAGATCCTTGGTGCAAGGCATAGGTGGAGATGGAGGGCGCATTCCTCCCAGGTTTAGGGTCAGATCTGGAGTCATGCAGCATTCACACCTGCCTCCAACAGGCAAGAGTTCTTTCTCCCACACTGGAGATTATTCCACAGATATATACACCCCACTTGCCTAGTTTCCAACAGACCTCACAACCTCAGGTTTAGAGGAAGGGGACTGTGTTGGACTTGGAGGTCCTTGGTGCAAAAGTTAGATCTCCATCTATGTTTTGCACCAAGAACCTCCAAGTCCAAATGGAGATGGGGGGTGCATTCCTTCCAAGTTTAGGGGCAAATTTGGAGTCACACATGCAACATTCACACCTGCCTCCAACAGACAAGAGTTCTGAGTTGTTGTAGGTTTTTTCGGGCTATATGGCCATGTTCTAGAGGCATTCTAGTTTCCAACAGACCTCATTCTCCCCCTCGATGGACTGTCACCTTGTCGTGGTGAGGGGGCTTGCGCGTTCCAATGAACCTGTAGGCACAACAACTGGAGTCGTGCACTCCCAGGAGTGGCCGCGGGGGAGGTTCCAGACCAAGCACAGTCCGAAGACCCAAAGACCTCAACGGCGGAGCAGGCGGAGGATAACATGGCACATGTTACAACGGCTGCGAAGGCGGAAGAAGGCTGCAACAGACTGAGAAGCCACGGTCATTGTGTTAAACTACATCACCAGTGGAACCTCACTCTGTGAAGTCTGTGTGTTGATCAGTTGTGCACTGACCTCCACACATTTAAAAAACCCACGCACAGGCGTCTTCCAAAGAAAACAAAAACCAAGCACTCCTCCACGATGACATGATGGCAACAGTCTTGGACAGCAGTGGCTCCCAAAGTGACCCATTTGAGGTGGAATCAGGTGTCAAACAGGGATGTGTTATTGCCCCAACCTTATTTTTCCATCTTCATCGCTATGATACTTCATCTTGTTGATGAAGCTTCCCACCGGAGTGGAAATCCTCTATCCAACAGATGGCAAGCTATTTAACCTAAGCAGACTGAAAGCCAAAACCAAGGTTACAACAACATCTGTTATAGAACTCCAATATGCTGATGACAATGTCGTCTGTGCGCATTCAGAAGATCTACAAGCCACTCTAAACACCTTCGCAGAAGCATACGAGAAGCTCAGCCTGTCATTGAACATCCAGAAAACCAAAGTGCTCTTCCAGCAGTCACCAGCCATCCAATGCCAGAAATACAGCTTAATGGGGTAACATAGAAAATGTGGACCATGTCCGCTACCTTGGCAGCCACCTCTCCACCAAAGTCAACATCGAGCCGAAATACAACACCGCCTGAGCTCTGCAAGTGCAGCATTTTCCAGAATGAAGCAGAGAGTGTTTGAGGACCGGGACATCCGTAGGGATACCAAGGTGCTTGTCTATAAAGCTATTGTCCTCCCAACCCTGCTATGTGCCTGTGAGACGTGGACTGTCTACAGACGTCACATGCATCTCCTGGAACGATTCCATCAGCGCTGCCTCCGGAAAATCCTGCAAATCTCCTGGGAAGACAAGCGGACAAACGTCAGTGTGCTGGAAGAAGCAAAGACCACCAGCATTGAAGCGATGGTCCTCCAACATCAACTCCGCTGGGCCGGCCACGTTGTCCGGATGCCTGACCACCGTCTCCCAAAGCAGTTGCTCTACTCCGAACTTAAGAACGGAAAACGGAACGTTGGTGGACAGGAAAAGAGATTTAAAGATGGGCTCAAAGCCAACCTTAAAAACTCTGGCATAGACACTGAGAACTGGGAAGCCCTGGCCCTTGAGCGCTCCAGCTGGAGGACAGCTGTGACCAGCAGTGCTGAAGAATTTGAGGAGGCACGAGTGGAGGGTGAAAGAGTGAAACGTGCCAGGAGGAAGGCGCGTCAAGCCAACCCTGACCGGGACCACCTTCCACCTGGAAACCAATGCCCTCACTGCGGAAGAAGATCCAGAGCAAGAATAGGGCTCCATAGCCACATACGGACCCACAAGGAAATCCATAATGGAAGACCATCTTACTCGTCCAACGAGGGATCGCCTAAGTAAGTAAGGGGACTACAACCCAAGAGTAAGCAGGTTGCCTTTACTCACTTCCTCTCAGGTCTTAGTATAGTATAGAAGGGCACTAAGGTGGACACTGAGTATCCACAATCCTGAGAAGCTTCATAAAGTAGTGTTTTCTTGTTTCATGAAGTTCTCTATTCAAGAACTCAGATACTTAGACTCATGTCAACAGAAAACAAATGGTTCCCAGTGTATTTGTGATTCATTACAAGGAAACTAGATGCTACTGGATCAGCGGTGTCAGAAAATGGCTTAATTTGCTTTTGAACCACATGACCATTTTGTTTCAAGACAGCTTCAGCCTAAACAAATTTCTTTATTGATAAAATACCCTCAAATGTCACTTAGAGCAGTCATTTTTTTATAATCCTTCCTGAGCCTGCCAATCCAAAACCTCTCACAAAACAACTAGAAATGACCCCCCTCAAAAGAACTATGAATACTTCTTTGGGGATTATTTTCAACCAACTTTCATGGGGGGGAAGCAGCACTATCAAGATGAAAATGGACATCCCTGCTTTAATGGGCATGTAAAATATATACCCTGTATCAAATCTTGAAGATCTTTAGACAGAAGTACATCCAAGGCCTAGATACCTTAAAGGCATTAGATCCTATCGAACCATGGAAACTAACAGGCTAATTCTTAGATAGGGGAACACCAAAGAAGATTAGATACTGTAAGATGTATTTCAAAAGAATGAACTGGCAAAACCACTTCTAAATATCTCTTGTCTAAGAAAACCCTATGAAATTTACGGGGTTGCTATTATAAGTTGACAGGAAACTTGAAGGCACATGCACACATATAACAAGTCTCTTATTCATCTGTTCAAAAGAAACTTTTGCTGAGTTTGGAGGGAGAGGTCTTACTACATGAGAAATTGGCATAAGCTGCTTAACACTGGCTGGGTTGTGCTCCGTGGTTTCTAGATAACTCAAAAGGGCTGACAGGAAGTGTCAGAAATTAATTTTCCTTCACAGTGTATGCTTCAAAAGCATGGGCTGCCGGAAACATTGCTCCCCCCGTGCATACTGCCTTGGTGCAAAGAACTCCACCACGGTTCACTAAGCACAAAGTAAAACAAAGCAAGCAACACAGAAAATGTTCTGCAGTTGACAAGAGTACAGACTGTCTCTCCCTAGTTCATCAAAGCTTGTTCCAACAAAGAGAGAAACAAGAGTTTCATCCAAAGCCTTCTGTAATGGCAGACAAGGATTTCTGTTTAGTTTATCATATTAAGAGATCTGTAGTATTTTCATTAGGTACCCATATTATGATAGATATAAAACAGATATCTAAGATAAATATCTATTGATTTGTGTTGTTGAAGGATTTAATGGATGGAATCACAGGATTGCTCTGAGTTTTTCAGGCTGTATGGCTATGTTCCAGAAGCATTCTCTCCTGACATTTTGCCCACATCTATGGCAGGCATCCTCAGAGATTGTGGAAACTGGCAGCAACCAGCCGGGATTTGAAACTGAAAGGCCATTAAATGCTAATTATGGTGGTCAACTGCAACATTCACACTTGCCTCAAGAAAACGAAGAGTTCTTTCTGCCACCCTGGACATTTCACAGATATATAAACCTCACCTGCCTAGTTTCCAACAGACCTCACAACTTCTGAGGGTGCCTGCCATAGACATGGATGAAACGTCAGGAGAGAATGCTTCTGGAACATAGCCATACAGCCTGGAAAACTCACAGCAACCCATCTATTGATTTTTTAAGAGAGCCATATTAAATAGGAGTTAGGAATCCACTACACACACACTTATGTTTCCGTTTATAGATATACAACATCTCTTTTTTTTAAAATAAAAATAAAAATTATAATACATTTTATTATTATTTAAACAAAGAGGAAAATCAGTGATATGCATTTACAAACTGAGCATGCAACATACAGAGACAGTAGACAATACATTCCCTCCATCCCCGCCCCCATGAACCCACCATCGTGGACTTCCATCCGTGCTCACTAAAAACAACATTTATTACAGTCCATAGACTCATCAGTGAGCTATCCCTACTCAATATGATATCTATACCCTATATGACCTACCCATATAAGTTCCCTTGCAGCATCTCTGAAGTCAACTTTTGGCTTCTTTCCAAGATATGCTAAGACCAGTCGGCATTTGTTTACAAATTCTTCATTATTTTTACCTCGAAGTCCGTTAGACAGCTTGACCATTTGTATGTAATCTATTAATTTTTCTCTCCAATCTCTCTCAAGTACTTATCTTTCTCCCTCCCATGATTTCACTATAACCATTCTTGCTGCAACACAGCTGTATTGGCATATTTATTTATCTTCCTGGTTAATACTCTCTCTGAATAGACCTAGAAGGCACATAGATACACAGCATCTCTATAAAAAAGAAGCTGCTTTGTGGAGCACTTTAACTACCATGGCTCAATGCTATGGACCCATGGACATTGTAGTTTTAGAAGGTCTTTATCTTTCTCTGACATCGTGTTAGTGCCTCAAAGGGTTACCAATCCCAAGATCCCATAACATTGAGCTATGGCAATTAAATGGGTGTCAAATTGCATTAATTCTACATTACTGGTACATCACAAGTTTAATTATGGATTTTGTTT